TCAATAAAGTTTCAGTCATGCAAAAACATCGAGGAAGGAAGAAGCTGCGATTTTCCGAAAAAGGTGCTACAGAGCCTTCGGTTCAACCCAATAGTGATGCGAAAACATAAAATAATGAGTGGAAAAGAAGACAAAACAACGATAGTGTATATGAAGAGCACATCAATACAGCGACCATAGCAAAGACGACTAAGCAAAGCAGCTGAGAGCGTGTAATAGAAAAATCAAAACGGAGTGTGCGTCCCTAGAGGACCAAAGTGTAGGAGGAGCAAAGCAACGACATGCTGATACGAAATCCTGAAATCGTGAAAAGATGGATGAAACTTGAATTTGAATGCGAAGGAAGAGCTAAACTCCAAAATAAAAGGAAGAAGATAAGAAACCAGATAAGGTCAAAACTCATTGATATCACACCAAATGGCACATCTAATGACTCTAGCAATGGGCATTATGGCGAGAGAACAGTGTTTACAAACCTCATACTTCTACAGATACCGATAATAGGATGGGTGGGCGAGTGGCAAAATAAACAAATCAAAGAAGAGTCTTGACACTGTAAGTAGGCGGTAGTCGAAAGATCAAGAAAAACTTAAAGACGACACTGTCATCATGAGCTTTTCGTTGAGTGAAAGAGCACTTTTGAGACAATGAGAGCTAGAGAGCTTTCGAGAAGTGAAGTATGAAGCAGCAGTACTGAGTGGAACACTCCACAGCAGAGTTCTGATGCCAACATCTGTATTTTAAGTAAGATTTTCTGTTTTTTAAGAGAAGAGCAAACGTAATTTAAAAAAAACAGGAAAGGCAAGACCACAGTATGCTTTGAACCTTCCATTACGGTAATCCCCTACTGCAACTATCATTCGTTGTGGAAAGACGACGAATTGATTTTCATCAACTTTTTGATCTGCCTGAAATCAAGTTCAAATTTGTGCTGTATCGCACCCAATTTTGGCCAAAACTGATGTCAAGCCTTGGAAGGTGGAAAATAATGCTACTGCATCGGGGTATTGACCCCAAAAGCAAATTCAAATAGCGTGTTGACTTAATTTGAAATAAAATGGTGTGCAGTGATAAGAGCGTACTGATTTATGCTCCACCAAATATCTTGATGTCGTAAAAGTTGAGCGCGCAACAAAAGATGATAAGACGACATAGCCTGATCTCTTCCAAAGCAAACACCAGCATATGTATGACGCAATTTTCAGCGATTTGCTAAGCATTTGTTATCATCCAATGTAGAAAAATTCGTACAAAAATAGCGAGAAAAGATGAGAAAGCGATACGAACATATGGTAGCGTCCATGGAAGCGACACTGAAGAGAAAAGGATAAACAAAAGAGAACTAGTTAGTGCAAATTCCAAACGATTATTTCACCAGATTTCGAAGAAGAAGTTACGATAATCATAGTACAAGTGCTCATGGTACCGCCTTACTGTTCCATATATTCGTTTTTGGGTCAACGGCGATTAAGCGCTAGGTGCAAAGAGCACATTATCATTGACCTGGGTGCAAACCTGCTACTATTCGTGATGGGTTGTACTTGCTGCCAAACACAGAATACGGATAGGGAAACTCAGAATAATGCGAATAGTGAATTACCTTACACGAGAATGATAGTAACGGAGCCATGATCAAAGCGGGGACGAACCTTCATCAACGAATATAGTAAAGCAAAGAATGTTCCAAAATCAAATAAATTTCACAATTTAACTTGAAAATCAGGTAGATACATAGCTCAAAACTGAGCTTTTCGAAGAAGATGACGAAAAACCTAGCAGCAGCATTAGATTCCGTACGACAGAGTCGCGGTCTGAAGAGACCAGAACTTATGGGACAACTCAGAAAGCCAAAAAGAGACTAAGACCACAAATAACTCATTCATGACGCGCCTCGCCATAAAAAGGCAACGTAACCGATAATAATTGGCTAGGACGCCATCTCATCGAAAATGCAAGTTGAGGAGGATATGAGAGTATGAGGACAAAACATCACGAATGCAGGCCATTGCGCAATCATCGCGTTGGTGCAGGCGCCGTGCCCTCGACGCGCCACCCCCGCGGCTGGAAAGTCTCGCTGCTCTCGGCTCGCACTCTCGCGCGCGCAGCACCGCCGCTCTTCAAGCCGAATACCAATAATTGCGGCAATAAACTCGTAAAAGCACATGAGTACGGCGATGAATACAACGCTACGATGCTCCTTAATGAACTCATCAAAGCCCTTTACCCGAAAAACTCGCAAATCACGCACGAGCGGGGATGTAGTGCAATCGGGGATGATCGGGGAACGGAAACTGACGGAAACTTGTCAAGTGGTTCACAAACATAACAAAATTAGCATGGTGTGGGTGAGAGCATCGACGAGCTGACGAGCCGCAAAAAATATGAACAAGAAGTCAATGACTTTCACTTAAGTATAAAGACAATGGGACAGCACTGCAAAGAATGGCTAGGCTTAAGTGCCCTTTCGATAATTGTGCAATACATGCTATAAAGCTGTCTTGTACACTTACATAAATTACCAGAATAGCACTTTATCGAACCTTGTTGATAGATTCAGAATACGGTGAAATTTACGGCTAATATAAATCATTTATAATGCTGATTGAAACTGAAGTTGAACAAGAACAGAAGAAAGTTTCACAAACAAAAAAAAGTAGAAAAAACTTACCCAATTGTCAGACCGATACCTGAACAATGGGAGTAGATGCCAGCAAAGGTGCAAACTTCCCTTTCCTGTTCTACAAGCTGCTCAAATGAAAAACAAATACTACAGTACGAAATTGGAACATTCTAGAGATCGTACTCTTTGAAAAGCTAGAATAGCTACACTTTCTAAGTGAAATAAAGGATATTGTGTCTTATTTACTACATAACTAGGTGCAGAAGGCTATGCAAAGAAAGTGATTCAATTTTCAGTCGTTGGACAAATTTAGTCCTAAAATTAGGTTCTGAAAACATACATATGCCAAACGAGCCTACAAAGTATATGAGACAATGAGTTGCAAAATACAAGACTACCAGCTCCAAACCACTCTGCAAGAACTACTTGAACAGTTTCGAACGGTAATGATAGAGACTGCAGCCAATCAGCCTCTGACAAGGCTGCCAACAATGTGTCACCAAAATCAACAAAAAGAAGGTAACTGAATCATCGAGGTTGAAGAAGCGCATGGGTGCCACCAGCTCTGAGCTGAATCATAAAGCAAAAACATCTACCCTCCTATTATTATAGTTCAAATATCAGAAAACACTTATAAACCATTTAAGTATCAACTAGAGAAAGAGCTAAACAATGCCCAGTACGAAAAGCAGCGGTCACTAAAAAATCGCAAAGCTACTCGTATAACTGTGGATGTTTTCCCTGAGCAATACTCTACTTAAAACCGCGCAGTAAAATTTAAGTCATAGACGCATTGCCTAAGCAATACTCTACTTAAAACCGCGCAGTAAAATTTAAGTCATAGACGCATTGCCTATTCAACATTGTTTGTAAATAGGGTATGAAACCAAACATGCAAACAAAAAACTTCGTTAAATGACCATGGAAAGAGTTGCCTATGTCAACATTGTTTATAAAAAGGTATGAAACCAAACATGCAAACAAAGAACTTCGTTAAACGACCATGGAAAGCTGAGTTCAAGCTGAAGCAACAACTTCAAGTACGAGAGAAAATAATTCATTGATAAAGTGTTCAGCAACAATCAGTATACATTATACCGGAAGATGAAAAAAAAAACTTTGGACAAACCTGATAGAACCGAAGCAGGAGGCCCCAAAGCAACTCGAAATTTGGGTTCTGGAGATTAAGTGATAATTTCGTCATCCCAAGTTTAAGTTTCTAAAGGCCATTCACGCATGAACTTTCGTAATTAGCAAACATAAATTGCAAAATCGGCAGAGCGCAACGAAATTGAAGCGATGCCATAAATGGAGCGGATCCGACGAAAAGTGGCATCACTAAAAGCGCGATGGCGACGGCTCAAAGGCTAATATTAGTACGGATGCCGTACGCAGCTTGGCTAGTAAAACAATCCGAGGGCATTGGGCCGGAGAGAGAGAAGCAAACAATACGGACTGCGAGACCGATCGAGATACCTTAATCAGCCGGCTCCGTATTTGGTGAAGAATAGTGAGGGGAAATGAATCATTGGCGGAGATTGGTAAGAATGGCGCATGGCTAGGGCAAACATAAGCTCCTCCGTCAAACATTCGTAATGCCATCAATGGCATGAAGCACTCTTGGAGGATTTATTGCTTTTCTTAACACGTTGACGACGAGCTGTTTTTTTGACGTCTGTCCCTGTGGACGAACGGTTTCCGGGCTTTTTCAGAGCCGGCTGCATATATGTGTGTATGCATCTACGCGTGAAGTACAAAAATGCAAGTGGGCGGGGAAGCTCCGCCCACTTTTGGCAAGCCCCGCCCACTTTTCAAAAATGCTGGAAATTGCTCAAAATCAATGAATTCGTGCATATTTCGGCATTTTTGAAAAGTGGGCGGAGCTTGCCACTCAGGGGGCGGGGCCTGCATAATGGGGCGCGGGGTCAAAATCAAGATTATTTGAGGTTCCCCAGTCATCTACGAGCTTTTCTATGCAATTTGAGAACGAAAAAATTTTTTTGTACAGAGCAACGGAGTGGGCGGAGTTTGCCAAAAGAGGGGCGGGGCCAACATGAAAAACTTCCGAGCCTAAACTGATTATATGAACACAAATTGGAACCATTGTGCACATTCGAACTGGTGTTTAGGGTGTCGCGCACCATTGCGCGACATCGTCCACAGGGACAGACTGCCTGTCGCGCACCATTGCGCGACACTGTCGTCAACGTGTTAAGCAGTGGCGATGGTGAAAAAAAGGAGAGCCGAAAAAGTAAGAAGAAGCGAAATACCTATAAAAAATCAATATGTCTATTAAACAAAGAGTTGACAACAATGAGAAACACATTGAAGATGGAACATGCATAAACCATGTATCAAAAAAGTCATTTATAATTCTTACCTCCATAAGAACCACCTTGAAAAATTGACCACCAAGGAAGAATTAGAGAGGCTAACGCACTAACATCTTGACATTTTCGTGGGTCAGCTATGAGCGGTTGCTAATAAGCGTAATTATAAGCCGGGATTATAGGCTAAGCCTCAATTACTGCGAACGAAATCAAAGCGTCAGAGTGAATGCACGACTGCACATCCTAATGACATAAGATAACATAAAGATCTGCATTAGGTAATGAGACAAAAGAAAGCAATTTCGAGACGAAAGCTGAGATTCTGCAGGCAAAATCCACCTTTAGATGCAGGAACTAAACAGTGAAGCAAAGTAATTTCGGACAAGCAAGGTGTTTTTAGAAACTTTCGATGGCTTTCAAATAATAGGCAAGATTATCATCAGAAGTAAAATTACGGGATGATACAAAACAGAAAAAACAACAGAAAATCTGAGAGTTTTACATGAAGGTGCAGCTTCACCTCGAAAGGAAAAAAATTGGCGCCTGAACACGCGCGGTTTTGGAATTTCGTAATCACGTCCACTGCACGAAATTTCATCATTGCAGATCACTGAGGTCAATAACTTTAGGCAAATGCCAGTCATAAAGTTTCCCATAAACTATTCCATAAAGCTAATGCTGTCCTAAAGTGTCCTATACAAAAAAGGGACAAGCCATTAGGTTTCGGATAGTGCAGGTGTTACAAAAAACGCAAAATATGGTTGCAGTACTAGCAAATCTAAGTCTGGAAGATGGCAGTTGCTGCAATTTTTTTTCTCAAAAAAAGGTAAAGTTGCGAATGACATGGCAAGCACATTATTACACGAGGACTGAAGGTCCAGAAGACCGAACTTTCTTGACTTTCAAGCTTTCTTGATCCAGGGATTTCGATCATGGTGTGATTGCACCAAATGCCAAAAGTTTGACGAGAACCCTAAACATACCCCTTATACTTCTACGTCTTGGTCCAAATCTAATCTATAATGTACAATGTAAGTAATAAGTAAGTTCCGCTATGTGAGAAATCTTATTTCCGAACTGATTGAACTTCCTATGATGAGGCCTCATCTCACAATTTCTACAGAACTCACAGGTTTTCTTACGAAGCAACTAATTAACTCATATTCAAGATGACGAGACAATGATTGTACAGTAGCAATAGACGTAAAGCCAACATGGCGGCGGTTTAGGCTAATGAGTGCGGGTCGAGGACCACTACATCAACACACCTGCGTGTTACGCACGCGCGTAACGCAAGCGGATGCGGCGCAGAAGAGCTGCCGCCGCCGACGCCGCTCTCGACGCTATATTTGCTAATCGACGATAAGCATACTATTGCAGTTTCGTAGAGGGTCAGAATGTTGCCTGTGGTTGTGGTTTGCTGAACACTGGAATTTCCTTGAGCCATTTGTAGTTTGAAGTGTGAGACTGCACGCTATGCGCGGCAACAGACGACGCTCTTAGGGAACAGTTCCAGCACAGCGCTCAATTCGAACACTGTGCTGGAACTGTTCCCGAACTTTGGGATCAGTATGAACGCAGCCTTACAGACGACTTCATAGTGAAACCTTTTCTAGAGTAAGAAATTAAAAAAATGTGTACAGTACATTTTTGCGGTGACGTAACCCGTAAGATCTAGAAAAAGGGGCGATTTCGTGATGATTCCAAAAAAGATTTCGTGATAATCCCAAAAAAAATTTTTGGGGCTGATTTGAACTAAAAAACATCGAAAATTATTTTAAATATCTACAAGAATAAATAAGTAACTTGCACATTCTCATAACCTAAGTAAGTAAATTTCAAAAATATCACGACCTATTCCGGGGGGAGGGGGGGGGGAGGGGAGGGGGGGGGGGTGGCGCAACGTCAAGTGGCGCGCATGATGTGTGCTAAATGAGAGAATTTTGTGATGATCGCGCTTTCGAAATTTTTTGTTCGTTCTTATCAAGTTCATTACTGATCAATCATCCAAGATATACTAAACTACATTCAAAACCGTACCAACATAACAAAGGGTAAATTGCATGAGTTGAACAGGTGTGAACATTACAAAATAATTCCATATTTGAATATAATGTCTTGATTAGTTATGACAAGAGGTGCTAAACCTAAATTTTTCTAGTAAATTATATCGCTAGTTTTCAGCAAAACCAAGTATGGAAAGCTAATGATTAGAAAAAAGCAGATGCGCGAGCTGCGCACGCAACGCACGCGATTGACCGCACGCGCCGCAGACGCCATCCTTTTTAAAATGTGAATGCTCTACATGATGCTCCCTCCAAAATTCAGCTGAATTCGAACCCTAAGCCATGACCATACTTGATGCAGATTCAAGTGCCACGCTGGCAAACTGCCAGATTTCTTCGCATTATTAGTAGAGTTTGAAAGCGCAGTATGTATATTTCTTGTAGACTGATAAAATGTCTACACTGTGCGAACTCAAAAGGGGATCTAGAAGAGATCTAAACTTTTGAAACATTGCCAGATCGCTTGGCGACTGAAATGGGGTGGGGTAGGCCGAGAACTTAGAATCTGAAGTTTTCAAAACAGCTTGTGACTAGCAATTTTGTCGGATTATGCTAATGTCATGGAGACTCAATTAGTGCAAGCGCACCGACTAACTTCAAGTCAACGGCAAGCAAAAAAGGTAGTTTTAATGTTAATGTAGTGCTCCTGCGTTGCCGACAACGTTTGCGCGTCATTTTCTGCCTTGGAGCGCAATTTTGGCGGAACATGCGCATTATGGCCATTTTTGATGTAGTCGGCATTACAAGCATGGCAGCTGACGCAAGAACACCATTCTAACAGTCGTATTTTTTGAAAAAAAAAAAGAGAAGAAAGCTAACTATGCTTAGCCAAAATATGGGAGGGCCAATATTGGGTCCGTCCATGTCTCTAGAATGAAATAAATTGAGCTACACGCAAAACCAATGGCGCACTTGTCTAGCCGCGCTATCCTGGCATCGCGGTTCTCTAATGAAGTTTTCGTGTGCAACTCGAAGTGCACAATGCAAATTAGGCCATTTCAAGGAGTGCAACTTCTTATGCGCTTTCCATGCAAACGGACTCTAGGATATCCGTGAACATTGTAATTTACATATCGAGTTTGGTGCCGGCTACTTGGCAAAGTGTACTACAGGGTATCTCAAAAGTAAGTACACCACATTGATCATTGCTTCTCTCTTTCTACAAAGTCTCTTGCTTAGCTTAAATTATCACTCGGTAGAGTAGACTTCAACTTACTAGAGTAGACTTCAACTTAGTTTAACCTTATGGAGCGAAACACTCATTGCTCTTCAATACTGTAGGATTACGGTAGAAAATTTCAGCATACAGCACCATTATGAATTACGCCGTTTCGAAGAAATTTTCAAAAATTCTGATAAATTGTGCAGAGATGTTTTCAACATGCTGAGTTCATCAGACAGCTTTTTACAAGTTTTTTAGGCGATATGAATGGTTTCTATAACATTTCTGGAAAACACTGAAATAACGTAACATTATTGCTGTTTACCTGGTATGACTTATAAAAATTTTTTACGGCAAATGTAAGTTGTATATTCACAATGATCGACTCAATTTAGCCTAATTATGTACGTAGCTCGTTGAGAATCCATTCTGGGGCAAAATGTAGTCATTCAAGCGCAAAACCCTTTTTGAGGTTCTCATCGTAATCCTACAGTACTGAAGAGATTTGAGTGATACAGTTTACACTGTAAATCAAGTTGAAGGCTGCTCCACGGAATGGTGCTTTGAGCTGATCAAAAGACTTTGTGGGAAGAGAGTTATTATGGATGAAGAGTGTGTACTTACTTCTGCGACAACCTGTATTGATGGTTTGTTTAAAAAATTTTGAAGTTCCGACACACGTTTGACAGCAGGAATCGTTATTTCAAGGCTACTTATGCATTACGAGTTAATATTTCTATTGAAGAAGGTGGTGAGCGTCTACTTTGAAGATCAAGCGGAAGCTCCGCAGTTGAGTCTTTATCTTTCCTTGTAAGTTGCCGCTCTGTTGATGCAAAGAATAAAAAGCTGAATTTTCAGCAGTTCTGTTTCCCTTGGGATATGTTCCAACATTAAAAAACATCAGCTCCAGAAATGGCTAAGAAAGTAGAGCTTACTCAGCAGTTTTCCCTCCCAGAGGGCCAGACACGTTATCGAAAAGGGAAAAAAAATTTGGACAATGAATCACGCTGTTATTTTGGTCGTGCTCCTTAGATCCGTATCCCCCCCCCCACGTCTTCTCCACCGCTTTTGGTCAACACTCTTTGTTCACAATTAAATGGACACCACTTGAAAATGAAACGCTCCTCGAAATGTAAGCAAATCAAATTGTCATCCCCTAGTTGAAGATTAGATTCAACATTTGAACAGCATTTGAAATTAAGGGGAAAAATGATACGCCTACAACTAGAAACATGTCTTTTTTGAGCTAAAATTCGAATTGTTTGATATTTCAAAATTTCTTTAGCTATGATAGCAATCAGTGAGCATTGTCGCTAGCTTGCATCCATTCTCTTTTGCCATTGTTTGTTCAGCTGACTAGTCGTCGTCCTTTCTTGCAATTGCAGACGGTGCAACAATCTGCGCGTCTATTCTCATTGTCAATTTTCGAAATCACTGTGTATCTCTAAAGGCATCCATAGGAAAAAGAGAATCTATGTGAGCAATAATAGCAATGATTTCCTATGGTATAGATGTTGAGTATGGACTTGATGAGAAAATAATTTGCCAGTACGTCTTTTCTGATGACTGTAAAGAGAAACAATACAACTGAGAAGAGGTCTGGATGCACAAAGGTACCTTCAGTTGTTGTACTGTAAACAAGGATGCAATGCGAACGAATAAGAGGAGGAACTGGACTTGAAAGTAGTACGGTAGCTGGCAAAGGTCCAGCACTTACTTTTGACAATCATTACGGTTGACTGAATTATTCTTAGATAAAACCACCAAATGACACCATTCTCAATGAAAAATTTACTAGCCTTTTCCTGCATCCTTTTCTATCAAATATCTGAAGCAAAAACCTATCT